GCTGCGGGTGGCCGCGCCCACTCCAGGGTCTGCTGCCCTGGCTCCTGCGGCAGGAGGGGATACGGCAGTGGAGGGCGACTACACGCGTGAGAAGTCTGGGCCGCACAGGGTGGGGTCTGGGTGGCTCCTGGAAGTCAGCGGGGGTGCCGGCCATCTGCTCTGGTGACCAGGGCTCAGCCTTTAAGGGTCAGCAGGTCTTGCTGGCCAAAGCACTCCGCTTGGCATCAGGTCAGGGTGGACCTGCGACTCCACTCCTTGCTGTCTGGTGCTGGTGGCTTTAGACAAGTGACATGACTCCCGAGTGCCAAGTGTCTCTTTCGTAAATGGGGACGACGTTGTTTTTCTCACCAGGGTGACTGAGCGAATTAAAAGTGACCGTGTGTGCAAAGACAGGGCACACGCACAGCAAACCTTCGGACGGTGACAGCTGCCACCATGGTCACCTCTAGTCTCTCTTTACCTTTGTCAGAGCTGCTATCTGAGGGCGGGCTCGGTGGTTCTGAAAGGACACGGGCTGCCAGGCCTTGTCCAGCGGCCCTGTCCCCTCACCTGTGCGGCCCTTTAACCACCCGTGTCCTCACGTCCCTCCTGCAGCTGCCCAGGCGTGGCGGCTAACTCGGACGCAGCAGCAGAGGGGACGGCCACTGAGCTTAAAATAGAAGCATTCCTGGATCGGTCCGAGGGCCGCACGGGCTGCTGGGTGCCAGGCTGGGTCGTCCCCACACCAGGCTGAGCTGGCCCCTGGGCAGCTGGAGGCCGCACACCTCCCGACAAGGAGCTGCGTCCCCAGAGGCAAGCCAGGCGCTCCTTGGTCTGGACGCCCTGGGGTACGTGCCCTGGGCCTCTCCCCCCCTGCCTGGCCAGCGGCTGCTGAGCACTCCCTGGGAAAAGAGGCCGGGAAAAGGCTGGGCAGGTGCCAGGGCGACTGGGCCCTCAGGCCAGCAGGGCCCTCTGATCTGAGCCGGCCACTTCCAGTCCTCGTGGGGGTGGAGGCAGCCGCTCGTGGCCCCGGGAGG